GCTTAAATATAATCTATTAGAAGTTCTCACTCACACACACACACACACACACACGCATTCACACACACACAGGGACTGACACGCACACACACAAGATGAGAGACGCTAAGAGTCTCTGAACACATTTCAATGTAGTTTGCTTAAACATAATTAGTAAAGATAATAGAACTTAATATAGCTGACTAAACATAATTAGTAAAGATAATAGAAAGTAGCATTTAATCGTTTAACAAGTGTGCTCAGCTCAAGGGAAAGTTTTCAACTAACAAAGGACCATAAACCTTATCTTTTCGGTATGTGACCTCCAAGGCCGAGGAGCCCCGTAACCATGACAACGGGGTGTTTAAACCAATCAGAAGCAGTCTCTGTAGAATAAGGGACAGAATCAGAACAGAGGTCGTTGCATTTGCTGGAGGATTGGCGTGATACAGGTCTGTCTGAGAAATGCCCTTGTATGCATACAATGTATTTGTTTTTTGATCTTCTGAATACTTGTAATCCGTTGTCCAATAAATCTTTTTGAACTAAGGTACTGCTTCAGCTGTATTGAACACCAATGTGGTTCTTATAAGCCACAACAGAATGGAGTAGAAACATCCAGAGCCACCGTGCACAGGTGTGTGCAGGAAATGGGCTACAGGTGCCACATTCCCCAGGTCAAGCCACTTTTGAACCAGAAACAGCGGCAGAAGCGCCTGACCTGGGCTACAGAGAAGCAGCACTGGACTGTTGCTCAGTGGTCCAAAGTACTTTTTTTGGATGAAAGCAAATTTTGCATGTCATTCGGAAATCAAGGTGCCAGAGTCTGGAGGAAGACTGGGGAGAAGGAAATGCCAAAATGCCAGAAGTCCAGTGTGAAGTACCCCCAGTCAGTGATGGTCTGGGGTGCCATGTCAGCTGCTGGTGTTGGTCCACTGCGTTTTATCAAGGGCAGGGTCAATGCAGCTAGCTATCAGGAGATTTTGGAGCACTTCATGCTTCCATCTGCTGAAAAGCTTTATGGAGATGAAGATTTCATTTTTCAGCACGACCTGGCATCTGCTCACAGTGCCAAAACCACTGGTAAATGGTTTACTGACCATGGTATTACTGTGCTCAATTGGCCTGCCAACTCTCCTGACCTGAACCCCATAGAGAA